TTCAGTCATTAGTTAGTGCAAAGGCTCATCTTCTCTCCTGGGCCATTTCTGTAGTCCCCAGTGTCACAAAACCTCCTTGTATATCCCATTTCAGAGCAGTCCTCAGTGGAAAACTCAGATTCTCCTGCATTCTCTTCCACCCACTTTAATACAAAGGAAGATTCTCAGGAGAGGCTCAAAATGCTCAAACTTTCTTGAATTCAAAAGGGAAAGGGCTGTTATAACATGAAAAGATGATTAACTTCCAAGTTCTTTTTATGCATTACCTAGGTGGTTTTTCTGAGGCGTGTAAACACCTGCCCATATAACTGTGTATGTGAAGATAAAAGGTGCAGTTGAGCTGATGACTTGTAATCTGGAACATTTCTTCCTTTTGGACACCAGCTTGCTAGAAACGGGTATGGGTTACCGTGTCTTCTTGTAAGGCTCTTGCAAAATTTGTTTTTGTTTTGAATCTGCTTGTTTTTTAAAGAACACATCTTGTAATTTAATTGGTATTTGCATCTCCTTGGAAGCAGCATCAGGAAAAGCTTGATGCTCTTGTATACCACCACTAAACCATGTGGGACTTCCCTCCTGGGGTACTTAGCCATGCATACTATACAATCAGGTAAAAATTATTTTGTTGGCATGTCCTAACACCAAAGCTCTTCAGGAATAAATTAATACTGCCAAATTCTCTTTGGTAGTACAAAAAAAAAAAAATTTCAAAAATCAGCAGCTTCTGTCATTCAATATCCCCTTTAATATCAAAAATCTCGTGCAAGCCTACTTGAAATCCAGCATTCTAACAGAAACTGGTGCAATATTACTACTGAGCAACATGAACACACTCAAGAATTCAATCCACTGTGTTACACAGGGTCATCAAGAGTCCTCCAGGCTGGAAGCACACTAAAGGGAACATGTGCAATCTTAAGAGTTTTGGGCTTACACTGTAACGCCACTGACATTTGACAGTGTTATTAATATTTATTGACTGATCTTTTTTTTTTTTTTCCCCCCACCTCACCATCAGCAATCGGAGTCTTGGAACCAGACACAAACTCCAGGCATTATAGTTCAAGGACAGGGAGGAACAAAGGTCTATGGCTGCTTGCACCATGTCCAGGGGAGGAAGCAAGCACCTGTAGGAGAACTCATGCGTTCCACACATGACAGCAGCATGGTCTGACAGCTTGGCATGGCACTGCTTCTCAGCTCCTCGAGGCTTACAAAGGACATGCCACCTCAGCCTAACCTAAGTAAGCCCTTGATGGGCACTTCTGATAAGAGAGAAACCAACCAGAAGATGGGCATGGCAATTAAATGAGAATAAAATCGATTATCCACTTCACACCTCCACCTTTAAACCAACAGTTGACTTAACTGCCACACTTCAGATGCTGATAAGAGTATGCAGCTACATTTGTCTCCCCCCACACCTTCCAAAAATGGTCCAGGAGACACCAGAAAGGACATGCATTTCAACAGAAGGCTGAATTGCCAGAAAAACTTGAAAGTGCTTCAAAGAAAAACCTCTTACTATCGCAACACCCTGTTACAGACCCCCTGACAACCTGGAGCATCTGATCACAGCTGCACCAGCCCCCTTAGCTAAGTGTGGACTGGTTGTTGGTATTTCAGGCACCCCAACCAAGAGACCCAGACTGCAGACAGAAGACACTGTGTTTTAAAGGGCAAAGCAAGCATGACTCTAAACAAAAACCAGAAAACCCTCCTGCTGCTTCCATCAGCTCACTGAAAAATTATCAGATCTTCACTGATAAATGGAACCAAAGTACCAGCAGAGCAAAATTATGGAAAATTTCTGCAGCAGGCAAATCCTCCACAGCTCTTCTTCCCTGATTTTCAATGCCTTGATGCTGATGAGGACGGACAGCAGCGCTATGCTGTCCCCTTCATCTTTAGTGGGCACTGTAAAATCATTTCTGGTCATTTTTATTAAAGGAATTCATGAAACTTTTTATGTCTGAGGCAGTGCAAGGAACAGACAACAGAGGCAAGCCTTATGGCAAGGCAAACAATCCAGAAAAATCCAGAAAGTAGTAAAACCACTGTTCCATGAGCCAGAAACCACTCAGCCTTCCCCATACCTGTGGGGAGACTCTACATAAGATTTACTGAAAGATTCCTCCTCTTCTTACTGCCTAGATTATACAAAAGGGTTTTGTATTCATTTTCGACTCTAGCAATGGTGGCTCAGTTCCCCCAACGCTGAGAAAAATTATCAGACAAAAGCAGTGGCACATACAATCCTAAAGACCTCACACAGGTTAAAGAAAAACACAGGGGTAGCCACTGCCCCTCAGAGCCATCAGCACAGGAGCCAGGCTTCTCAAACAGATTCTGGAGCTGGACTTCAGTGGCAAAAATCCAGCAGAAAACCCCTGGTCTTCCAAATTATCCGCCTTAGACACTAAAATATACGTTTCAAGGCCCGACTCTGAGAAACTGAAAAACTGAAGTTCTTCTGCAAGGCACTCATGTCAGGATATTAAATTTCACTGGCTTACACCGTTTTAAGACCCAGAATGAATAATTCAGAAATTACATTTTATTTAGCACCTATAGCATTAAAAATATGTATTTTATGCTATAAAGACTTACAGCACACTAGAAAAATGAATATAGGTTACCTACCAGCTGCAAGCCACTACAAAACTAACGACTAACCCATAACCCTAAACGGCTCATTTACTTAAAACGGCACCAGAATTCCTCAGCTAATAGCTAAATATCACAGCACAGACCTGAGGAAAAGCTTTTCATTGCATCAGCCATCAGCACGCTGGAGTTTGTTAAAAGAACATTGAGAAAAAGCTCATACTTCTCACCAAAAGCCTTAAATTTGGCTCAAATGAGAGCCGATGAGCAAAGCTCCCAACAACTCTGTTCCACCCACCCCATGCACTGAAACACTGTCCTTGCAGCACCTGGGGGAAAACCCAGGAACACATCAAAGTGATCTTCAGCTACTGAAGAATGGCTAAAACCCAAATAATTCAGCATCTAATCCTGGCGCTGATACTTGATTTCTTAGGGAATCTTGACCCCGTACATATATGAGAAGCTTGGAATCACATCAAAAAATGGACTCAACAGGCCAGCATAAAAATCCACACCTCCAAATACTGCTATAACTAAATTTCACTTTAAAGACTGAGACATAAACTTGGTCAAATTCCATATTTTCTGAATCTCACGGCACATAATTAAGTAAACAACAAGCTTTACATTAACTATCAAGAGATAAACACTATCCACACACAAGCAGAGGGAGAGGCATGGAATAAAAGGATCTTAACCCATGCCAAAATTGAGGTGTACTCTATATACAATTAGCCAAAGTTTTATCATCAAAGGTGATAAAGAACAGGACATAAAGGACTTCTCCCTTCAAGGTATTCTGAATATGAACGCTATCAAACCTAAACCTTTCAAAAACTACCCAAGTTTTTGAGAAATGCTTGATATTTCCATGAAGTTGTCTGCTGAGCTCATATCCTTCCTTTTTTGCTTAGCCATCTTCACTCAACTGTACATCCACAGCCCCAAGGATGAATGTACCACAGACATAGCTTTATGTTTTCCATTAAAACCCCACAACAGGAGCAATCTGAATATTCCTTTATAAGAACTTTGAACCTGGTCTGCAGGAAACAGAAAACAAGAAATTCTCTTTCTTAAGCCCTGCCTTTAGGAAGGAAGGATAAGCTTTGCATACTGATTCTTGCATTCTGAAGAAAGCAGATTACATCCAGGATAAGGAAATTCAAAAAAAAAAAAGAAAAAGTCCTCCAGCGGGGCAGAACGGTAAGTAAAAAATAACAAATGCTCAAGGGCAAAAGAAAAAAAAAATGGAAAAAAAAAAAAGAAAAAAAATCCCAATAAGCAACAAAAAAAGTATCAGAAAAGAACTCAACTCTCAAACCCCCTCCCTAGACCTGCCACAAAATTAGGGCAGCAGAGCAAGGCACAGATTAATCATTTTGGTTGCAACACTTGCTCCCAGGCTTCTCAAGAGCCATCAGCTTGGAGAAGAGAAACTAAAGGTTGAGTGCCAGCCCAGGTGCCCCCAGCTGGGATTTCACTTCTCCCCCATCCCATGCCGCTGACGGCTCCAGAGGCGCTCCGAGGGAGCCGGTGCTGTCCCGCTCCCTCCTCCCAGCTCAGCACAAAGCTCACCATCCATTTTACAAGCCGGCCAGGCTCCTTCCCGGCACAACTTACACGCTGTAACACATAGTGCGCTTAACCTGCTCAGATGACCCTTGGATACAAGGGCAGGCAAAACCCATCTCGAATAATTAAAAGGCGAGAAAAGGTATCGATATCCATATAAACAAACCTTCTGCAGATGGCGAATATGGCAATTAATCCCCCCACAAAGCCCCACCGCCGGGACCTGCTCACCCGAGCCCCCCGGCTCCTTAAACTTCACCGCCTAACAAAGGCTTTTAAGGCTTTTATTCCCCCCCCCCTTTCCCCTAATTTGCGCTTACAATCCTCGGTGAATTATTCATACTCCTCACATTGTCCACCCGCCATCCCCCCACATCCCCCTTACACCTCCGCAGCGCGGCTTTTGGGGATTTTTTAAAGCTTTATATCTCCAGATTGAGAACCGGCCCTATTCCGCACAAAGCCAGGGCACGGCGGGCTCGGAGCGCGCCGGGCACGGGGCACGATCAATCCCTGCCCGCTCATTTCCCGGAGCGGAGCAGCCACCGGGTCGCTCCCCGGCACCGCGGCCGACACCGAGCGCTTCGCCCCCGGCCCCGCCGCCAGCCCCGAGCCCCGGCCCGCTCCCCCCGCCGACAAAATGGCGACGTGGACGAGAAGGAGAAGGAGCAATGGAAGAGCGGGACACTCCGCAGGCCAGGGGAGCGCGGGGAGGGCAGCGAGGAAGAGGACGAGGAGGGGGCGGCGGTAACAAAGCAGCGGCCGGCAGCAGCCAGCGGGGGGGAGGCGGGAGGCGGGCGGCGCGGCATCGGTACCTCTTCTTGTCGGTGACGCCGCCGGGGCTGTCCATGGCGGCGGGACGGCTTCTCCTCCTGCCGGCTCCCTGGATGCGAGGCGGCCGCGGCTCCGATAGGCGCCACGGGGCGCGGGGAGATGGCGGCGCTGGCCGGGTCTCTGGGGCCGCGCGGGCTCAGAGCATCGGGGCACAGGCTGCGGGAGGTGCGGGCGCGGCGGCGGCGGGGGCGGCGCGGGGCCCGCGCTGCGCCAGTGAGGAGCGGCGGCGCGGCCCGGCCCCTGCGAGCGGGGTCAGCTGAGCGCTCAGCTGGGCGGGGGCCGGCGCCTCACGTGCGGCGCTGCGTGCGGGGCGGGCCCGGGCCCGGCCGGCCCCACACCGGCCCCACAGCGCCCGCCCGCCCGCCGGTGGGGCTCGGCCCGGCNGGCGCGGCCCGGCCCCTGCGAGCGGGGTCAGCTGAGCGCTCAGCTGGGCGGGGGCCGGCGCCTCACGTGCGGCGCTGCGTGCGGGGCGGGCCCGGCCCGGCCCGGCATGGCCCGGCATGGTCCCACAGCGCTCGCCCGCCGGCGGGGCTCGGCCCAGTACGGCCCGGCCCCACACCGGCCCCACAGCGCCAGCCCGCTGGCTCGGCCCGGCATGGCCCCACAACCGCCCGGCTCGGCCCGCTCGCTGTCGCGCCGTGCGAATCCTGCCACACATCGCACCCCCGTGGGCACAGCGCGGCGAGTTTGTCCCTTCTTTATTTCCTTCTTTTATTCCTTTCTCGCGTAACTTTGTTCAATGCTTGACTCCGACGCCTCTCCCAAAGGTGTCGTTGTACAATAAAAACCCGTTTGGACTCATAGAATCATCGAGGTTGGAAGAGACCTTTAAGATCATCCAGTCCAAGCATCCACCTGGCGCTACCCCTGTAGCCCCTAAACCACATCCCCCAGCGCCTCTTAAACACCTCCAGGGACGGTGACTGCCCCACGCCCGAACAGCTTATTCCAATGCCTGACCACCCTAACAGTGAAATTTTTTTCTAATATCTAATCTGAATCTCCCCTGTCTTGCCTTAAGGGCACGCCCTTTTGTCCTCTCACTGCAGCCACGGCAGCAGAGACCTCCCTACAACCTCCCCTCTGTGAGTTTTAGACAGCGATGAAGCCCCCCTGAGCCTCCTCTTCTCCAGATGAAGCAAACCTAGCTCCCACAGCCACTCCTCACAAGTCATGTTTTCTAGTCCATTTCCAGTTAAAGGGTTCAGAAGCTCACATTAATTAAAGGGAACAGTCAGCTCCACGGCCGGGCAGCCCAGAAGGGGACCCGACAGGTAATTAGGCACATTTCGAGCAAGTTTTACAACTTCCAAACCCAACAGCAGAGCAAGGAGGCTGGACCAGGGCTGTGCCGAGGCACTGTGACCCCTCTGCCTTCCCTGCTACTCATCCAGTCTGGTGCACATCCAGTGCCATCATCCCACTGCCTGCCTCCGCTTTTCCTCGCCCTGCTCCCCCCATGGCAAGCCTGGCCTCAGGCACTGCTCATCTGAGAGCCCCAGGATCTCCTGCTAACCTTGGCTGGCTCAGGAGGCTCAGCAGGAGGGGCTGGACATGGAACACCTGGACACTGAGCACCGTGGCCTCTTGGATCAAGAGCCAGGATACAGCCATGGGGGAGCAAGGAGAGGACAACTGGGGGCAGAGCTCACACATTTAAAGTTAAAAGCCTTAGCTCTGTGCTCTTAGCTTAGGGTCATGTGTGTGTGTGAGCACTCTGGGGAGGCAGGAAAGGCACAGTTCCGCATGGAGTGACACCACAGAGCTCAGGGGTTCCTTTACATCTTGTGGGCTCCCACTAGCAAGGACTTCGAGTGACCATCTGGAGCTGAACCTTACGAGACTACTCAGTTTGCAGCTCGGCAGTAATGATACCTTTAAAAAAAAAGCAGCTTTGACAGGCATAAGTGACATTCTTTAGCTGCTGTGTGCATGTGTGGTGACATAAGAAACACCTGCAGGGCAAAGTGATGGTGTTTCAGTACTGCACCTTCCTAACACTTCTGCTGTGGATTCCCAGCTTCCAGGTAACAATCAGTTGTTTTTGGCATGCAGTCATGGGTGTTCTGTGTTTGGGGGGGGTTGTTTATTTTTGTATTTAGCAGAAGAAAAAGCAATGACTGTGACATTTGTTAGCAATCACAAGGAGTTCCTGTATGAAATGGATTGCTTCTGCCCACAGCAGTCAGATACGCAGAACAGGCACAGGTGCTTCTGACTCCTTTTATTCCTTCAAGGTTTTCCATCCAAACATGGACAAAGCCCAGCTCTACTTTACTTATGAGCTGTGACAACACAATAGCCCATGGCAGTGTGGCTGTGAACTACTGATATTTCTGTTGTTCTGTGCTCACTGGAGCCTCGAGAAGAAAAACAGTCTAAGCAAGAGCCAACCTCAAGTGTCTTGCATAAGTACCAAGATGCCCTCCCCAAGGGCTCACAGACAACTTTATCTTTCAAAATGAGGTTTAGGCAGTTCAAACATAGGAAGAATTCAGTTGTGCACTGCAGCTGTGTGGTTTTTTAGTCTCTTCACAGAGTCACCATAAGAGCCCCTAAAGAATTTTCTGGTTAAGTGGGGAGGGATCTCTCAGTGGGTGCAGAAGTGACAAGGCCAGCTCAGTGCCACCTTCCCCATCAGAGCCCCTGGAACTCATCTGGGGAGTTTTGGTAGTGAAATGGTGATAACAGAGGTACCTTGGAGGAGGCTGGTGCAACTCAGAGCAGCCGTTGCAGCTTCTCAGTTCTCTCAGATTGAGGTTGAAGTGGTTCCTAGTAAGCCTGGCACACTTGAAAATGAAAGTCTCTTCTTTACTTTGACTGCAATCTCAGTGCCCTTCAAAGACCAAGAGGCACTTGACGCGGTCTGGACCAGGGACTGTCCAGTTGTAGCCTACAGAAACTGCCTTACTCTACCCAATAAGTTTTTATTTTCAATCTTGTCACTCTTTGAATGACAATTTTAGTGCCTATAAGCATGGATGTCTTAGGATTCACTTGTGCGCTGCTCACTTTAAATCACTTGGACACAACAGCTTGAGATGTATTAGTGACTTCTGAGTAAAAAATCACTGGAGAAAAATCTCAGTTTACACTTTGCTAATGCTGCTCAAATGATTGTTCAAAGATATCAGACTTCCCAGCATGAACTGTCTGGGGACCTGTGAGTAAGTGCTGTGGTCGCCTTACGAGATACATTTCTTTCATGCCAAACATGCTTACCCTGAGCTCATAATAAAGAATAATGCTTTTAAGGAATAAAACCCAGCTGTGTTTCAGAAGGCTGTTAGTGGGAATTTGTTCTGTAATTAAGTATTTCATACTGTAGCAGCTCTTCAGAGATGTTAAGCAAATGCTTCCCTTTATTAAACTTTTGCGTCACTCCTCTAAAAGTCTGCATATACACTTTCTTTCCCGCTTTCCCCGTGGCTGATAACAGAAACTTATTACAGTATATGATGCCTTAGTCATTTTTCTTGACCTTTATTGCTGCTCTAAGTTCATACTCACGCTTACGTTAGAGAACTTCCTGAATACAATGGTGTTTGCATATGACTAATTAGGGCAAATGCACAAGCTGATGAGTCAGCAAACGGCTCGGCTCGGACAGCGGCTCGGCAGCAGAGCAAGGCGGGATGAAGATGCGAGAAGCGCTCCTGCCTGTGGCTTCGGATCCCTCTGCTGATAGTCAGGTGTCACCGGCATGGGCTCTGTCGGCATTTACTCCCAGGATCCAAATGCATCCCCAGCAATAACGACTGGCAGAACTTCCGACTTCCGTGGGAAGAAATCAAGGATTTAATTAAGGCGTCTTACCTCCCAAGAACACTCACCATTTCTGAGCAGGGACTCACCGGGGTGGGCAGAGAGTTAAAGGGAAGCTCCATTTATCTCTCTGGAGCTGGCAGCTCACATCACAGGGGATGTCACAAACAACCTGCCCTCAGCACTGGCTTTCCTGGGCTTTTGCTTCATTGTACAGCCCCCTACATGTAGGGCATTAACACTCATTGGTTCAGTAATTGAGCTATAATGAAGGGTACATTCTAGTCTATGAATATTTGACAAAAAAACCTGTCTTGCTCACAGCACCACTGTGGAATGTTGAGTTGACAGAGGGATGCCACGAGGTCTCAAATGCTGTGCAGACCCAGGGCTCTGTGACACAGGCTAATAGCTGTTACTATAACTTACTGTGCTTAAAAGTGCAAGAACCTGAGAGCTCTGGTGGTCAACTCATTTCACAACAGAAAAATGAACTGAAATTTGAATCGGATTCAAACCAAATCATTGGCATTGGAAGCCTAATCTGCTGTTTCTCAAATACGGAATATTGTCTGAAGCAAGAGTACGTGATGGGAGACACAATCTCCCTTTGGCAACTGTTGTTTCCTCCGGTCTTTTCTAACCTCGGTGCTTCTTCTCTCCTTCTTGTAACAAGATCTTTTTTATTTTTTATTTTGCATCTGCACAATCCACATTTTTTAAACTAGGACCACTTCTTAAAGCCTGCTTGCGTCAGTGTACATGTAGACATTTGGAAATACTCTCTGGACTGTTGTTTCTGCACAGGTACCCCAATATGGTAACAAATTCTGCAGTGTAATAAAAGCACTATGGCCAATTCAGTGCAATTACATTTGGGGAAGGAGTTTCTATCCATGAAAGGAGTTTAACAGATCAAAGCGTAAGGCAGGTACACTGTAAAATTTAACCAGTTGCCTGCATCCTGCCTATCCCAGGTCCCTCCTGAGCAGATACTGCCAGTTGTACAGTGGTTTTCCTGATGTGGACAAAAAACAGCATGGAATTTTAAAATTGTCCTTACAGAAAAGATGGGTTTGTGGTCAAAGCCCTGAACAAAGGCTCTGGGGGCTGAGGTTTGGTTCCAGGCTTCCTGTAGGACTCTATACAACTCACTTAGAGAAAGGCTTTCTATTTTCAGTGCTGCAATCCTTTGCAACAGTGCTGAGTGGAGGAATCCACTGCACGAGGTCCAGCTGTCCATGCAGCAAACTGGCAGATCTGGAACTGTCAGGAACCAGCTGAGGAGGGAGCAACTGAGACAA